TCTGCTTGGACTCTCTTTTTCCTTTATCTTTCCCAAAGCCACTCCCAGTTTTTACCTTCCTGACATAAACCAGTAACTGGCATTTGTACCATTGCCTGTGGACCACGCCTCCCCAAGAGATAGATGCACTAGTCTCCCCAGACTAAGAAACGGTGGCCAAGCCATGTCAACCAGCTTGCCTGAGGCTGATGGCAAAGCCCCCGGCAGCTCTTCGTCCACCTGTGACTGTGCGAAAGGAAGCCTTCACAAAGTCTCTGTGTGCATGACACGCGTCGTCGTGTTACAGACACAGCGGTAGTGTGGCGTGCTATACCAATCCAGCTGTTGCCTGGGCATGACTATGCCAAGGACAGGGAGGTAGACATGCCCTGAGCAAAAGAAGGTCCTAGAAACATGTTATCCCTCTTAATATCACAACTGTAAGGGCACAATGAGCCCAAGCCATGAGAACCCTGAACCCAGACCTCCAGAAGCGACCAGGTCCTGACTCATCGGAAACTCCACACCAGCCCTAGTACCAGGACGCAGACCACCTCATCTGGCATGGAGCAGAATTGCCCCATTGGGTTTTCTTGGCTATAGTATTTAGGTAAACTAAAGTAAAAGGCAGGTCCTGGGCTTTCTTCCACAGTGCCACCGGGTGGGGTTAAACAATCCATCTTCAGTAGTTAGTAGATTAAGGCAAGTCGTTTTCACCACCCAGGCACCTCCCCTTCACAAACATTGCAAGTGCCAACCAAGTATCCTTCTATCTGCTGCCATGTTTGCTTTTGTTTCTGTTTTTTTTAATTTTTAGGTTCACTTAGGGACTTAAGGATAGAAAGCACTGTGGATCATGGAGTAGGAAAATTTGGCATGATATCTGTTGTGTGCAGGCTATGTGGGGTGATCTGGCTATTAAGCATTTATTTGCTGCAGCGTACCTAAGTGTTTTCTAATAGTCCATGTAGGTTGTAATCAGCCAAAGCCACTGTGGCTTTAAAACTGCTGTTGTAAAGTTGTAACTATAGCCTCACCAGTTTCTCACGTAAAATGGTAATAACTGTTCTGAAAATGCAGCACCTGAGAAAGCCAATTCGTCATTCATGTACAAATGTGCAGTTCTAAACACAATCCAAATATGTCACTCCTATGCCCATCACAAAGCTCCCCAGCAGGCACAAGTGCTAACCCAAAGCTGGTGGTTCTGACCCTCCCAGCAGAGCCTTGGAAGAAAGGTCTGGAGAGTTATTTCCATCAAGACAACAGCCATGACTGGTACATTCATACAATGGAATATTACGCAGCCTTAAACAACAATGGCATGTTGTCTAACACTTCAAGGCATGGACACAATTGGAGAACACTTTGCTTAGCAAAGTTAGTCAATCTCATAAAGATAAATATTTTATGATGCCATTATCATAAGGGAGCATAAAGAAAAGAAAGGTGGTCTTCATACCAAATGATAAGACTTGAAAGACTACAAGGAGGGAGAAAGGGGGAACAGATTATAAGGTCTACATATAACCTCCTCCCTGGGGGACGAACAGCGGAGAAGTGGGTGAGGGAGACGTCGGATGGTGTAAGATATGACAAAATAATAATAATTTATAAATTATCAAG